GGTCTACCTCAGCCTGCTTCTGCATCTCCTCCTTCAAGTCATCAAAGTAAGTGGCGTCGTCGTCATCGTACTCTGCATCAAATCGCTCTTTTAGCCTGCGTTTCTTCTCCAAACGTTTGTTCTTCTGGACCTCATCATCGTCCACCTTCACCAGGCTCTCCTCACCTTCATCATCATTGTCGTCATCGCTCTCACTATTCTGTCGGTCACAAGGTGCACAAGAAAAATCATTGCTCAACTGTGAAAACGAAAAGGTGTTAATCAGTCGACAAGAGTTTTAAATCTTATTTAAAAGACTTCCTCTGCTGAAAATCACATTTTAACATGTCCATGTGGTGTTTTATACACTAGAAGACACATCAGGAGCAAAATGAGCAGCAAACACTATGGCTGAGTATTTCTACCTTGACACTGTGGTGGACCAATAACCAATAACTTCCAGGGTTTCACACACAACAAACCTACAGGATCAATTCTGACTCCTTGCTGTTTGGAAGTCAGTACAACACATATATTATGGGATATAGTAGATCTTATTGGGTCCAGGGGGCGCTCCTGAGGACCTTCTATGACTCTGTGGTGGCATCAGCCCTCCTCTATAGAGTGGTCTGCTGGGGCAGCAGCATCTCAGCTGCTGACGGGGAAACTTGATCGGCTGATCAAGAAGGCCAGCTCTGTCCTGGGGAGCCCTCTGGACCCAGTGCAGTTACATTACTGAATAAAATGTGTCTGATTGTATGAAGCTGCATCCATTGCTGGGGAAGTGGGTGACAGAGTAACAGCTTGTTGACTGTGATTTTCTGAATCAGTAATGGATCCTTCATCAAGTAAAACATTATATGGATGTAAACACCATCTAATCAAGCTAAAGCAGAAGATCTTCTCATAACCAATGTTTTATTTTTAATCTAACCCCCTGGAGAGGAGTTAGTTATTTTTTGTTTTGTTTATTGTACAGATATTTTTTGTTGTTACTGCATATAACTGCTAAAAACTACTACAAGTAATATTAATGAAAGCACCCTTCACTTTTAGTGATCAAAGAGTATTGTAGAGTTTTGTGTTGTGACACAGCACAAGTCAGAAACAGCGTATCCTAACACTGCATCCACAACAATGCTGATATCCAAACCATCACATCTCATACCTCAGCCTCATCCTGCTGTCCAGTTTGGCCCTTGTGGACTTCTCCTGTTTCCAGATCTTCAAAGTCACCATAAAGCTCCTCTAAATAGAGCAAAACAACCAAGTACACACATGAAATGATGTTGACACAACATGCTTTTTACATTTTAACAGTAAAACCATCAAGTCCATCAAATTGGTCACAAACCATCATTAAAATGTATTTAAATGACCCTAATTCAACTCAAAGTGTTTTTCTTGTATCTTCAACTTCTACAGTGAACAGAACTAGTACTGATCTTAACTATCAGCTTCTTCTTACCGTCCTCCTTCAGCAGCGTGGCTGCATCTTGACCTTCCTCCCACTTTCCAGTTACAAAGCAATCCCTGATCGAGTTCAGCATCTAAAAAAGAAAACACATTGACCCACTTAAGCTTCATTTCAATGAATTCTTTTTTACAATTTCTTTTCAGATCAGTAGCACATGAGGAATCTAAGATCAACAGCTGTCCAACTAAGAATAGTGTGTTAGGAACTACTGTACCTCTTCCAAGTCCCAGTTGTGGGAGGCGTCGGGGTAGAAACAGGAGCTGTCCCGAGCATTGGCCTGAAACTTTTTGCTCTTCTGAGGACGGCTGACTCGAAACAGGCCTCCCAGCTCCTCCTCCTCATCCTCAGAATCATCTGCCTCGACGACTGCAAAACAAAGAGGACCAGGGATTGTCACATAAACTCTGAAACATTTATACATTGCTTACATTTTTTCTTCATCTTCTAATAAAACACTAGTCTATTAATAATATTCATATTCATCATGTGGTTAGTGTAAATACAAAGCTGTTATTTGTTTCTGGGGCAGCTGGTTGATTTGTTTCACAACATTGAACTATGAACTGTCCTTACATTATGTTTTTAAAAGTACATTTTAATACATATTCTGTAAATGGTGCGCCAAGTATTCCCAAATCCTGATCAGATCACAAGTAAACAGTTAATGTTAATGCTTGATGTGAACAGGGCCAGAGTGGACTTCATCAAAGAAATGGCCAAAAGCCATTTACAAACTCACATGTGGATACCAAGTAAAGCACAAAAACACAAGAATTGGGGTGCAGGAAATGACAGCAGGTGCTCTGGACTGTTTAACAGTGTGAAATATGAGTCTAAAACAAAAGTACAGTCGTGACTCGATAATCTGACACTAAATGTAAAACCTTCTTTTACGTCAGATAGCAAGGCTGTCAGATTGTCAAGACGGAGGTCGAGATACAAGGAGGGCTTGATGAAGAGTAATTTGTTGTTAATATTTATTGTTTTTAGTTGTTCTAACAACTAGCGTATTGTTAGAACACTACGCAGCGCTGGATTTTACACCTAATTGACGGGTGAGCTTGTGCACGTTCCGGCCACTTACACCCTGGTGGTACGCTCTGACTGGGTGGAAGTGGCCGGAACGCACAGGTGGTACTTGGCTGCTGATGCCAGTTTAGTTAGTGGTCACAGTTCTGTTTCCACCATCAGCTGTGGCAGCAGCAGGAGAGTGGCAGATACGCTCCACCGTTCCCATCCGTGTTTACTTCCGCCACACTGAGCACGCTCTGTGACATAAAATGTCACGTCGGAGTCAGAATCCAAGGCTGTCGGTATGTTATGGATATTTTCTATGGGTTCCGTTCGTTTTTCCTTAAAAACCTGCCGGATAGCAAGGTTTTGAGATTGTTAAGGGTCGGATTATCAAGTCATGACTGTATTGTCAAAGGGCTGGAGAGCTACGGGACGATTGTCTTCAGTGAAGAATGACAGAGGCTCCGTACAGATTATGGACTGCATTTGTTTCGAGAAAAAAGGCGGACTCTTATCCATCATGTAATATCATCACAGAGGCTTCTGATCATCCACAGTTCATTCTGCAGCTGAACCAGAATGTCCAGTCGTTAAGAACTATGAGCACCACAAAAGTATCAAGGAGTCCTGCAGCAGAACCCTGATCTAAACATCAAGGAGTCAGTCTGGGATTACATGAAAGTAATGTTTGGAACAAACCACCTGCTAAATATCTTGAAGAACTAAAGATATAAATTAAAGAAGTGGTACTCACACCTCACATCCTGTTTGCTGCGCTTTGTATGCAGTTGACTGATTTATAAACATTCTCACTTTATTTTTACTGCACAGTCCTGTGAATGAATGTGTACGTGCGCCTGGAGACAAGGAATACCTGAACCATAAACCAGTTTTCTCAGATTGGGGGCAGCTTCTTGATGCCGTAGAAATGCTTCTGATGCTTTCTGTTGCAGACCCTCCTTCCACCTCAGAGCTCCTGCAGACACAAACAGAAGAGAGGTGAAGCAAATTTAAGGGGGACACACAAAGTCCCTGAACCTCAGGTTGCTTTTGAGTTAAAGTTAAATAAGAATACAGATCAACATCTTTAATGCTTAAGAAACCAAGCACCAGAAGGAACATTCAGTAGTTCTGGACCTTTTTTGATCACAACATTTTTTGAAAGGTTCTTAATAAACTTGAAACATCAGTTTTAAGGCCAACATGGACAAGAGGTCTGAAGATCTCTGGCTTTTCTCTGTCACTATCATTAATTATCATGGCATGTGGCACTACAGCAGAACATATTCAAGTCAGTAACATGTTTGTATCTTACAGTAGTAAATATATACATAATTTTATAAAGTATGAGATCGAAGGCAGCATTATTACAAAATTAGTGGAAGGGACTCAACAAGAGAGTTTAACTGTTTCAGAATAATGGTTGTGAACATCTGCAACTCCAAGACAATTGGATAAACTCCAGAGATCATATGACATGATCGAAAGCTTCTACAGACCAAAGCTTCATCATTATTTAAGTTAAGTTTTTAAGTTATTATATAGAAGAATAAAGGAGGATGGTGCCTTATCTTTTCTAAAATTTACAACAAAACTGAAAGAAAATTCAAAGATAAACAAACTGTGTACACACCCTGTTCTGCTTCTTCTTCACTCTCACTTGCTGTTAATTTGTTGACCATGCCATCAGCTGCACTCCCCTCCTCTTCCACTGACTCATCATCAGAATCTTCTTCGTCATCTTCCTCCTCTTCATCATCACTTTCTCCCTCCTCTTCTTCAGAACAGTGTCCGGAGTCTCGTGCTCTCCCAGTCTCCCCCTCTGATTCACTCTCCTCTGAGCTATTCTCCAGCTCGTCTTCACTGTCTGCATACGCCAGCTCCTCCTCCACGTCTCCCCCCTCTCCTTCCTTCTCTCCCAGCTTCTGTTTCTTCAATGGCGGAGCTCCACCTGCTGTGGCTTTTGTGGATTTAAGTCTTGCCTCTTTAAGAAATGTGGACAAGTTTTCCTCATTGTTATCTTCCTCATCTTCACTTTCATCAGCCTCATCATCGCTAGATCCACTGACATCCTCATCCTCATCCCCCTCATCCTCCTCGTCCCCCTCAGTGAAGATGACCTTCCTCCTCTCTCTCTGGGTCTCGGGATCCCAAACAGACTTCTCTCGAAGTCCCTCCTGTTCCCTGGCAAACACAAAAAACAAGAACAGTTTAGTGTCTTGGTCAAATACTGCAGTGTTTTTCTTATTTTCTGCAGTTGAACATATCGACATTAACAAGAATTGTTCAGTCCTCTCAAAGATCTGATCTGAAAATCCACCTACTGACTCATATAAATTGGGTGTGAGAGTTAATGACTTACAGACACCTCAAAACAATGTGATATGTCAGAGATGACCAAACAGAGAAACTGCAACTTGTCTGAGAACCATTTTTCTCTTTTCTCCTCTTTCAGTGCCATCAGGATTATTTACCTTTTTCACCACTTTCCCTTTAACTTGGAAGCTCCTGTTTCATTTAATCATGTGTAGTTGTGCAAAAAAAAAATGAAGAGATAGAGTTGAGCTTTGAGGTGTCATACCTGCTCTGCTCGTGGATGTCTGTCGGGTCCAGGGTTGCAGAGTCGCTGAACAGAGACACCTTACTGGCAGCCATCTTGGCATCCAGGGTGGCATGTGTGTCAATAAGAGACTGGACCAGCTCTGTGGTGGGCCGCACCTCCTCCTGTAGCAGGGCAAGAACAACGTACTTCAAACCCAGTTTTTAGAC